ATCCGGATGAGAACCTTATCAATCTCAACTGCTTCGACTGCGAGCGAACGGTGGGCAGAAAGCCCCAAGCCAGTTCCTCTTCACCGAACAAAGCAGCTTGCTGTCCCCATCACTCCGTACCAGAAGTATGGTGCGGCCATCTGGGACAAATCCGGCGGCACAAAGAGGGTCAGCTACCGGCCGAATCACCAGGTGAAATTTTCAAAGCACCAAAGGAACATTTACCCGTCTTCCACGCAAAAGTCGAAATCAAGTCCGGACATCACATCTGCCAATCCCACTGCGCCCTTATCGCCGCTGGTACGTTCCGTGATCCAGCAGAACACTCGAGAGGCCATGCGAGTGTTACAGGATGGAACAATTCAAGTGCTAGACGTGCTTGGTGAGGCGAAGAAGAAAGTGATCGGGTCGAGCGTTGACCGTCGACGAATGCAGCTCAAATCGCAGATTAAATTGATAGGGCCGGTCAACCCATACACTACCTATGGACGCGTTGATTCTTGGATATGATTTGCTTCTTTTGCTTTCTATCTCCTAGTGTTTCTGCACATTGTTTCGATCGAGCTTCTGACCTTTTCCCGTTAACATTTTCTCATCTTTGATGATTTTCATTTCTCCCTTGATATTTTGATACCTCTGGAAGGGCCTAAGGCTTATGTTTGGCGTCTCGGCACTGGAATTGAATGATTGATGGGAGTGACTTATTATGCCAGCTATATGGGTTATACACACTTTGTAATTAAGAATATTCTGCAATGGATGAGATCTCCACCTATTCATCCAACCATACTTGTCGAATTCTCGTTCTCAATGCAGGGGTATTAACCCTGTACTCTGTAGTGATTAATTACGCCGTCCGGTGTGACACTAATCGGTGACCTATGTATAACCTGAAGCGTATCTCGGTCCAGGTGATGCTGTCATGGTACAAGTCCTACAAGGATATTTATCAATAACCCTGTCGATATTCAGTTCCTTCAGATCATATTCAGACAGGCGAGTAGAGACATAGACTAATTCCTGGTACTAGACGAATCATGCAACATCTAATGACCATCGTTGATGTCTCACATTCCACCTCATCCGCTCCGTTTCCCCGCCATCTGCCGCTGTTGACTTCTCCGCACTTAAACGTCATCCCTGTTCCTGGCGAATATCCGGCTGGACTCCATTCCCTACCGTCCCCTATCCTCTTCTTTCTTCATCTTCCTGGGGAATAAAGACCCTGAATCCAGAGTGTTCATCACCATAGTCCTTAACCAAATTGTTAAGGTATATCCCCTCAACCTATCTGCATCAACGGTCTAGGCCCGCCGAGATGGGTGGAGACGTCCCATTGCGAGCTCCAAGCTCGCTCCCTCGAGCCCCAGAACATCCCGTCGGCCAACGCATCAATAAAATCTACACGGATCGACTGCGCCAGTTCACAGACTCAGGCCAGTACCGTGAGCAAAGCCTCATCTCGTACGTCTATCCCTTCAACAGAAGAGTCCCCGCTAACTCCACACCAAAGCAAGCTTCACGAAGCCACCACCTCCGATGAAGACCATGTCAAGCTGTCCGTTTACTCTCCCCCGGACCTGCAGCGTCCAACCTTTGAGGAGGCGACATCGCACGAGTTCACGCCCACGCATATCGGCGCCTCATTCGGCCCCAGTTGGTCGACGCACTGGTTCCGGATTCGGCTGACGGTCCCACGGGATATGCTCGACAAGGAGCGATTAGAGTTCCACTGGGATGCAAATAATGAGGGCTTAGTGTGGATGGAGGATGGTCGGCCGGTGCAGGGGTTGACTGGTGGCGGGGATCGGATCGAATGGGTTATTCCTGATGCGTGGCGCGACGGCAAGGAGCATACGTTTTACATTGAGATGGCGTGCAATGCTATGTTTGGGAATGCGCCTGGCGGCGATTCCATCCAGCCGCCTGCGCCGGATAAGTACTATACGCTGCATACGGCGCGGATTACGGCGGTCAATGTAGAGGCGCGGGCGCTGTTCTATGATTTTTGGATCATTGGCGGTGCGTATATAGCTGCTGTTGATGTGTTTATTAGTGGCTGACTTTTGCAGACGCGGCCAGAGAGTTCCCCGGTGATTCTTGGGAGGCTCATGAAGCGAATATGGTTGCCAATGCCATCATGGACGCTTTCATTGCCGGTAACGGAAGCCAGGAGTCGATCAAGGAAGCGCGCAAAATCGCTCAGAGGTATCTTGGAGACAAGGTCGACTCGTCCGAGGTTTATGAGACGGATACCCAGCCCATCGTCTATGCCATCGGGCACTGCCATATCGACACCTGCTGGCTCTGGCCCTGGGCAGAGACAAAGCGCAAGGTTGCTCGCTCATGGTCTAACCAGTGTGACCTGATGGACCGGTATCCGGAGCACCGATTCGCTTGTTCTCAAGCGCAACAGTTCAAATGGCTCGAGCAATATTACCCTTCGGTCTTTGACCGTGTCAAACGATGGGTGAAGAAGGGCCATTTCCAGCCGATTGGTGGCAGCTGGGTCGAACACGACACCAACATGCCCAGCGGTGAGTCGCTGGTGCGACAATTCATTTACGGCCAACGATTCTTTGAGAGCCGATTTGGCGAGCGTTGCAGCACCTTCTGGCTGCCGGATACCTTTGGATACTCCAGTCAAATCCCTCAGATTTGCCGGTTGGCGGGCATGAGCCGCTTCTTTACCCAGAAACTCAGCTGGAACAATATCAACAACTTCCCGCACACCACCTTCAAGTGGGTTGCGCTTGATGGTAGCCAGGTAATGTGCCACATGGCTCCATCCGAGACGTACACCGCGGATGCCCATTTTGGCGACGTAAAACGCAGCGTGACCCAGCACAAATCGATGGACCATGATAACACTTCGCTTCTGGTATTCGGAAAAGGTGATGGTGGCGGTGGCCCTACCTTTGAACATCTGGAGAAGCTGCGCCGCTGCCGGGGTCTCAGCGACAAGGTTGGCTTGCTTCCGCGCGTGAAGATGGGCGACTCGGTCGATGATTTCTTCGAGAGGCTTGAGCAAAAGGTTGCAGATGGGACGGAGTTTGTCACCTGGTATGGCGAGCTCTACTTTGAACTGCATCGGGGCACATACACTACGCAGGCGAACAACAAGCGGAACAACCGCAAGTCTGAATTCCTACTGCGCGATCTAGAGTATCTGGCGACCCTCGCGTCCCTTACCAAAACGAATGGGGAGTACAAATATCCAAAGAAAGACATTGATGACATGTGGGAAGGTGTGCTTTTATGCCAGTTCCACGATTGCCTACCCGGAAGTTCCATCGAGATGTGCTACGACGATTCGGATAAGCTGTATGCGCAGATTTTTGAGACGGGTGAGCGAGCCAGACAACGAGCTCTCGAAACGCTTGGATTTTCCGAGAAGAGTACCGGCAAGAGTCTCGTTGCCATTAACACATTGCCTTGGCCTCGCACGGAGATCGTCAGAATACCAGATGAATTCGTCGCCTTGACAGGTTCCCGGTATGCTCTAGCAAGCGGAGATTCTGGCATCATTCAATGCCAGGTTCTAGACGCTAAACATACACCCTCCGTGACGGTGGCAGAGATACGACCGGGTCTTTTCCGTCTTAACAATGGCAAGTTGAGGGTAGATATCCAGGATGGCGTCATTACTTCTTTGTATGACATCGAAGCCGAGCGAGAAGTCATCGCCAAGGGAGGCAAGGCGGGCCAGCTCGTCATCTTTGACGACAAGCCGCTCTACTGGCAAGCCTGGGATGTGGAGGTATACCATCTCGAATCGAGAAAAGAGCTGCAGGCGGGAAAGACCTCGATCGCAGAGGAAGGCCCGCACCGTGTCAGCGTGGTCAGCAAAGTCCAAATTAGCGACCAGAGCTGGGTCAAGACGACCATCAGCCTGGCTGCGGCGGTGAATGGCCAGCCCTCATATGTCGAGTTTGAGAGCGAAGTCGAGTGGCAGGAGACCATGAAGTTCCTCAAGGTCGAATTCCCTGTGGACATTACCAACACAGAGGCATCCTACGAGACTCAATATGGTATCACCAGACGACCGACGCATTACAACACCAGGTATGTCAAGCTTGACTTGTCTTATGAGTAATACTTTCTGACTAAAACAGCTGGGACATGGCCAAATTCGAGGTCTGCTGCCACAAATGGGCTGACCTGTCCGAGTACGGCTACGGCGTCTCGATTCTCAACGACTCCAAATACGGCTTCGCAACCTGTGGTAACTTGATGCGTCTCTCGCTTCTGCGTGCCCCCAAGGCGCCGGACGCCCATGCCGACATGGGCCGCCATCACATCCGCTACGCCATTCTCCCGCACGCTGGCCCCCTGGACGCCCGCACCGTTCGCGCGGGTTACAATTTCAACAGTCCCCTTATCCTGCGCCGTTCGCCGGGCTTGGAAGCCGCTAACGTGTTCAAATCTATCACTGTCACCGGCTCGCCGTCTCTCATCCTCGACGTGGTTAAGCGCGGAGAGGACGACGAAGACGTTTCTCGGGGTGAATTGCCCAAGCGGTCCGGAAAGAGCATCATCCTTCGTATCTATGAGTCGCTGGGCGGCAGATCGAGGGGCACGATCCACGCTAAGTTCCCGGTCAAAAAGGCTTGGAAGTGCAATGTGCTCGAAGACAATGAGGAGCGGTTGGAGATTTGCAAGGGCGACGAGGCCGTCGCAGTCAAGATTGAGCTGCGGGCTTTTGAGGTTGCCACCTACCGCTTGCAGCTGTAGATTGCTCATGATGTCGATTTTGAGTTCGATGAATGTGTTTATATCGATGAATAATAGCCTAGTCAATGCCATTATTTGCCTTGAGTCTAATACAGCCTTCATACAAGTGGATATCAACTGAAGAGCAAGAAGACAGTCGTAAATGCTCACATGTGCCAGTCCCAAAAGAGAACCACCCTGCGCCTAAGCTCCATTTTCCCACCCTTCCCTTGATGCATAGAACGAAAACCCACAAAACAGAACTCCTCGAGCCGAGTCCAGCAAACCTAATCCCTCCCATAAGTAATCTTCAACCGCTTCGCAGGCGGCTTATCCCCTCCCTCATCACCCTCATCATCCTTATCTTTATCCTTGTTACCGGCACCATTCGCACCCCCAGACTTCTTCTTGTTCTTCGATGACGACGACGAAGACGAAGACCCCTTCACGCTCGCCGCAGCGGACGACGTCCCCTCGCCGTTCGGCTTCCCGTTCGACCCGTTATACGTCGACGTCGGCGTCGGCGCATGCGAAGGCGTAGTCTGCACGGATGATGGAGCGGGAGAATCCTATCACTGGTCAGTCCATTGCTCCCATCCCAGGGATGTGATGTTGGATAGTAAAAACGCTGACGCACCCGCATGAAACTCGCCGAACTCCTCGAAAACACCCTATCCGCGTCCGTCACCTGTGCCTTACGGCGCGCTGCGCCGCCCATGCCCCCCGCCAGCGCTATCCCGCTTGCGCCGAGCCCCGTGCTCGACCCGGACCCCTTGATGTAGTTGTCGAAGCCCTTGATGATGTTTCCAGCGGTGGTTTCTTCGAGGTAGGATTGCTCGAAGCGGAAGATTTGGTCCTCGAGTTGGGCCTGTCCGCCGTGCTTAGTTCGCGGGGTTATGGGGGCCGATGAGGGGAGGGAAACCTACCATGCTTTTGTCCATGAGGCGTTTCTTCTGCAGGGCGTCGCGGAGGTCGCGGCGGAGTTTTTCGTAGTAGGGGAGGCCGCGGTTGCCGCTGTTTGGGTCTGTGGTGGTTGTGTTGGTGTTGGCGTTGCCGGTGGCTGGGTTGTTGGTGCTTGGAGATTGTGTGTTTGTTGTTGTGCCTGCTGTTGTGGCTGTTGCACCTGTTGATGTGCCAGTTGCGGCTGGGGCTTGTGCTGGGAGTGTGTCTGCCATTTTGTGTCGCGCAGCAACGGGTGACAGGGATTGAAAGTGCTCAACTAATACGCTATGAATTCGTTGATAACAGGTCGAGAGGGCGCGTGTTGGTCGTGATGCTTGGGCTATACTCTAAGGCAGGGCGGTAAGATTGAAACCGGTTGGAGGATTGGACTCCCGTATTTAGTAAGTGTGAAGCCAAAAGGGAGGATCTTATCGACTCTGTTTGTCTTGTTTGCATTGAGCATACGTTTCGTCCTTGATGAATGCATCAACTGTCAGCATCGATCTGCCTCTGTTTGTCATTTCAGGATTCTTGCATTTATATTATATAGTGTGTTCTTTCTGAGCAAATATATTACTTACATCTCGGAACGATGGACCACAGCGCGATGCACCATTCCGGCATGGATATGGACCATGGACATGGGGACATGGATATGGGTGGGCAGTGTAATATGAATGTGAGATCTTCTAGCTCTGGTGACATTTATAATCTTGTACACTGACACAGTCAGATGTTATTCACCTGGTCTACCAAGAACCTTTGCATCGTCTTCAGCCAGTGGCATATCACCGGCCCCTTCTCCCTCCTCATGTCCCTGATTGTCATAGTGCTTTTGACAGCGGGCTATGAGGGGGTCCGGCAGGCCACCCGGAAATATGAAGCTGCCCATGCACAACGCCTGAACGCTTTCTCGACAACAACAGCTACGATCGGTAAGTACTTCGGTCTATTCTGAGCTATTGGACGTGTATCTACGCAGGCATGGTGCGTTGGTGGACTCTGCCGAGCAAGCATTTGTTTCATTGAAATGTACTCCCGCTTTCTATGTCTGCTTTGGTCATAGCTGGACTGGAGCCCTCATTGACGAACGATGTGCAAGGCAATGAGTTCGCCGACGAGTCCGCCACGGCCAACGGCCCCCCTAGTCAAACCCCCAACGAGAGCTCACCGCTACTTGCAGGTAGGGATAACAGACGGGCCGTGGAGAGCAGAGGCAAGATTACCCTTGCAGCCTTGTATGCCGTGCAAGTGTTCTATAGCTTCTTCATCATGTAAGTTTTCGCTTCCCCCTGTATGCTTCATCACTTTAGATGCTTAAAGGTGCATAGGCTGCTGTTCATGACTTATAATGGGTTCGTCATGCTTGCGGTTGCCGTTGGTGCTTTCGTCGGATATCTGGTGTTTGGAGATAACCAGTCAGCCGCTAAGACGGTTGCTTGTCATTGATGATTTCGGATGATGGTCGGGTCTCCCAGTGTATGTAGGCAATCTGGCGCGCTTTGAGCGCCTACGAGGAATACATATGATGTAGACCGTCTTGTGCCAAACTCCAAGCAAATGGAAGCAACTCAAGGGACTTCCACGTCGCTTCCATCGTCCCCAAAGCCGAAACTGAATCCACCTGCTTCAGAGGCGTCTCCGGCGCCCTCCTGGGCCACCTTTCCGTGGACCAGCTCATCCCACTTGCGCTTCCTGCCATCTGACTTTTTCTTCAACTCATCCAACGCCTGCTGGAGTAACTCGGGATGAGTCTTGCGCATGTTCTCCACAAACCGCTCGTAGGGGTTATGCACGTCTTTCCTGAACCCAGAAATCTGATCGGCCTTGTTAGACAAAAAGTCAAGGGTGGCAGTCAAATGCGCACGCGGAGTGAAATTCTGCGTAATAGCAATGGAAGGTTCGAGATTCACGACCAAATGCCACCATCCTGAGGGCACATGAAGAATCTCCCCTTCGCCACAGATGCCTTCAATGCAACCAGGTGTGCGCCGTGCCTCAGCATGGAAGCCGAGCAGCCATTCTGCAATGCTCAGGGGTGATGTGACTTCGCTCTGGTCGTCCGAAACAAAGACACCAGGCGGGGGTGGCAGTTTCGAAGACGAGGGAAACATGATCCAGTACTTGGAGCCGCGAACGACGGCGTTCCAGGCGCTGGTCGCATTGGGGTCCTTATGAAACGTACTGCCTGAGCGCTCAGGGCCAATGATAAGCCATTGCCTATCCGGGCGGTCATTCCCCAGCACAGAGAAGAAGTCTTCTCCAAAGCAGGGAGGAGGCCAGTAAGTCGCTTCAGGTTCCTCCTCCGGTGGACCAACCTTGAGCCCCATTTTCGACACGAAAGCCCGGTCAAACAGATACAAAGGAGACTCATCTGCGTTGTTCCTCATGTAATCCACGTAGGTGCTCAGCTTCCAATCCACAGCCTCGGCACGAAAGACCGTTTCACCGTATTTGGCAAGCAGTGAGTCTACGGACCAGTGCTTGTAAGCCGGCCACTGCTTCACCGGCTGGGTCAAAATGAAGGGCCTGTCAGACCATTCTGCTTGGAAATCCTCCGGAGAAAGATCCGGAAGACGGGTGATCTGATTTCTCGAGGGAATATTGTTCACGTAAGTGTCCAAGGAGATGTGTGCGCAATAGAATGGACGATGAAGAGCATCAGAAAACAGACTTGAGCAGTCCAATATGGCAACTTTGGACGGAGGCAAGTTGAGATAGGTCGAACGCCATGTTCCTCTCCATGCGAACGACGAAGGGGGCGACCTGAAGATTGCCTCTTAGTGAAAAGTCTCAAGGCTACTAGATTCTAAGGTCTAGTGATCGTGTCTAAATATACGAAGATCTATGTATCCTTACCATATGAAAAGAGCCTTCCACAATTCCTCCGCTCTTGTAAATGCATAAAAGGCCTTACAGGTCCTCCCGAATCGCAATAGACTTGGACCATCCAGAGACTCTAGCAGCATCAAAATCAGCTCATCCGGCAGAAGATTGAACGTCCCAATCGCATGACGGAGATTCTCATTGGCAAGTAGGGCGTTGCCACTCGGCTTTACGCCTAGCGGATGACAGGGGATTGCATCATGACCAGTTAGACCCTGAAGGCTGTCATCCGCTAAGAAAGAGCGAGAATCAGTCTCACCACCAAGTGGGTGATTCTGCAAAGATGTAATATCAGGCATTTGACTTCCTGGTCGCCAAAGCCTCAGTGATTGGATCTGACACTAAGAATGGGAAGAAGTGTATAACGAAAACAAAAGTACGGGGTACTCCGAATATACGGGGTAGTTCTGAGAGGTTCTGGAAGCTCTATATCAGAGAACAAACACGACAAGAGTCATGATAAGAAGAATAATAATTGCATCCTGCACGAGAACCTTCTGTGCCTCTATCAAGTATCATAATCACCACCACTCACAAATCACCCACGGCAAAAAAAATCCCACGAGGCAAACTATGAATCCCGAAATAGCAGGCGGTGGATGTGGGTTGGGCAGAATTGGCGCTAAACAGGAAAAAATCAAAAATTTCGCGGCTTCACCAAATAGAGACCAAGGAAAATCTTTTTCTCCCTCTTCTCCAGCCCACATTACTACTACCCGGAGAATCCATCTTCATATCTTACTATCTCAACTACCACCATCACTACTTTACTAGTTCCTAAGAAATCTCCATCGTGAGAGTCGTGGTTCTAGTCTCTAAAAGTATCTATTAGGGACTTTCATTACTCTCAAATCTCTTCGACTACAGCCCCCACTGGGACCTGTCGTCGCTAAGAAACTTCCAAGTTCACAACCAGCACCCCACTGTTTCATCGATCACAGCTTTTTCGCTTGTGATCACCACCTACTACAGTCGCAATCATGGCTTCTAACGACAAGGGTTTGGAGGAGATCCCTGAGGGTATGTTTGAATGTCATTTTCTTTGTGTTCTGATCAGCTGTGGTGTTACGGTGTCGCTGCAGACATTTTGTGGCGTCGCTTGCAGCCGAAAAATTTTGGCAAAAGATTCAAGGCTGACAATTCTCTCCAATTTTAGGACAGATCGAGTCCAACTACGATGAGATCACTGACTCCTTCGACTCCATGGACCTGAAGCCCGAGCTGCTTCGCGGTATGTTTCGCTCTTCTCAACCCGACGATATGGCGGGGTATGTGTGTAGCAAGTATTGACGACATCTTCCCCAGGTATCTACGCCTATGGTTTCGAGCGTCCCTCTGCTATCCAGCAGCGTGCCATCATGCCCGTCATCAAGGGTATGTTTTCCCCATTACGGCCTCTGAAAACAGTGTCATTAATCTGGAAATCACAGGTAGCGATGTTATCGCCCAGGCCCAGTCCGGTACTGGAAAGACTGCCACTTTCTCCATCTCCGCTCTGCAGAAGCTCGACCCCAACGTTAAGGGATGCCAGGCCCTCATCCTTGCTCCCACCCGTGAGTTGGCTCAGCAGATCCAGAAGGTTGTTGTCGCCATCGGTGACTTCATGAACATTGAGTGCCACGCCTGCATTGGTGGTACCAACGTTCGTGACGACATGAAGGCTCTCCAGGAGGGTCCCCAGGTTGTTGTCGGTACCCCCGGCCGTGTCCAGGACATGATCCAGCGCCGTGTCCTCCGCACCGACCACCTGAAGATGTTCATCCTCGACGAGGCCGATGAGATGCTTTCTGTGAGTTTTCTTTTGCGCATATTTCGCCCCGACATCTATTCTAACGTGGTATACAGCGTGGTTTCACCGAGCAAATCTACGACATCTTCCAGCTCCTTCCTCAGTCCACCCAGGTCGTCCTGCTGTCTGCTACCATGCCCCAGGATGTCCTCGAGGTTACCACCAAGTTCATGCGCGACCCCGTCCGTATCCTGGTGAAGAAGCAGGAACTCACACTGGAAGGTATCAAGCAGTTCTACATCGCTGTCGAGAAGGAAGAGTGGAAGCTCGACACCCTGTCCGATCTCTACGAGACCGTCACCATCACCCAGGCCGTCATCTTCTGCAACACCCGCCGCAAGGTCGACTGGCTCACTGACAAGCTGACTGCTCGTGACTTCACTGTCTCTGCCATGCACGGTGATATGGAGCAGGCTCAGCGTGATGTTATCATGAAGGAGTTCCGCTCTGGTTCTTCCCGTGTCCTGATCGCCACCGACCTTCTGGCTCGTGGTATCGACGTCCAGCAGGTCTCCCTGGTCATCAACTACGACTTGCCCGCCAACCGTGAGAACTACATTCACCGTATCGGTCGTGGTGGTCGTTTCGGTCGTAAGGGTGTTGCCATCAACTTCGTCACTGCTGACGATGTCCGCATGATGCGTGAGATCGAGCAGTTCTACAGCACCCAGATCGAGGAGATGCCCATGAACGTTGCTGGTAAGTTCAACTTGTGGAGATCGGCCTTGATTGAATGTATGCTAACATCCTGTCAGACCTTATCTAAACGCCCCAATCTCGAGTTACCACCCGCATCATTTATGGTGCGGCTCACGATCGCAGTATGCCAATAACGTGCCAAGGGTAAGCTGCGGTGGAAAAAATGGCGTTTTTTAACATCGTTGCTTGTCTTTTGGCGAAGGAGAATCCTTTAAAAGTGGCTTTCTGTGTCTCCAGCTCTTCTTCTGCTGGCAGTGGATTGCGGAGGGTGCAGTAGAAGCAGCTACTGCACATCTTCGGAAGCTGCTGTTCATGGTTTCCTTTGTTTTCTAATGGAGATGCGACATGTTCCTGTGCTTTTTAACGCTGTAATTCATGGTTTCTCTTTTCCTGCATCACTTCGAGTTTGCCGTCTTTTTTCCCTTACCATTTTGTGCTTGGCTGGCCTTGGTTGGTTAAGGATGCTGCTATCATGCTTAACCCGTCGGTTGAGTGGAAAATGCTATTTGTTCATTCAGTTGCTTTCTCTTTTCTGCTTCATGAACAGACAAGGCACTTTGGGTGGATGAATACAGATCATGACAAGGAGGTGGTTTCATACCTGCAGTACCATAGATAGAGGTAAATGCCATTCCAATTGTTTAAACTGATCTTGTACTCTGTTCTTTTCTTTGCGGATACTATCACCTGGCAAGAATAGCCTATTCTTGACTCGTTTAATCTAACCTCATGCAACACTCACGCCATCGTCTATTCAGCCATCAAAATACAAATTCCATGATACTCACCCAGCATCCCATCCTTGCCTAGAGCATCTCTTATCATCAAAACCATCTCTGCATGGACAAAACGACAGTACGCGCATGGGACCCAACAGCCCCCTCCCTCCTCTGGGCTCACCAGATCCGCCGCGAGAATGTCCACCTGGTCAACCAGCTCGACAGCACAAGAGCAGACCTCGCCGGCGCCATCTCAACGATCAACGACCTGAAGCAGCAACTTAACGAATTACAAGAACACGCACAGACAGCTGACACCGGCCATGATGCATGCGACCGGAAGCTGCAGGACCTTACGGGGAGAAGTGAGACTAGGTTGGAGGGTATCTCTAGTCGGATTGGTTCCCTTGAGCATGAGAGTCGCCGCTTGAACGAGAGACTCGATGGTATCGAACGGGGATGCAGTGAAGATGAATTGAGGAAGTCGATACAGAGACAGGTTCTGGATGAGGTTCGGGTTTGGTTTATGAGAGAAAAGGAGGTTCTTCGAGGTAGAGTGGGATGTCCACAGGGTGGTGGTATGTGTTGTTTGATTTCCTGTTGAGGTTGTATTTGAGAAGCGCGTCCTTGCTGATCAGGACAGGCTCTACGGGAGTCAAGCAGGCATCTCCCGAACTAGACTTGGTTCCCGATTCAATGTGTCTGGATGAGTCTGCTCCATTCGCTCGGAATGACTCCTTGCGAACTCTCACGGAGACTACGTGGGGTTCCACGAGCCGTTCGCAACAATCTTCGGGTCAGGTTGATCACGACCTGGAGAGAAACCGGATTCCCGAACCCGATTCGGCTACGCTTCCGCAGATTAGACAAGCCGGGCGAGCTCTCGGGGCGTATCTTTCGTCCGTTGAGGACGTGCGCGCGCAGTTGCCTCCGCGGAAGAGAGAGGGCGAGATCGTTGAGGCTTTTGTGCGGGGGCTTGATGATGCGGGGACGAGAGGTCGAGTGGAAGGCGAGATGGATAGAGCCGGGTGGTCGTGGGATACGCTGGCGAAGATAGTGCGCAAGGAGATTGAAAGGCAGCACAGGCCGGCCGTGGACCTGAAGCGAGCTGTCAAAGGGGATGTTGAAGAGCGGGTGGAAGTTATACAGGCTCCTGGTGAATCCCACATGTCCAGACCACGTAAGAAGCAAAGGAGGTTCATTCCGATCGTGCCAGCAGATGAAGATGATCTGATAGTGTAAATGTACATGGACTTGGAACGGTCCGCAGCGTGAATTGTTTTTGCAGGGCATGTGTATATACATCAGCTAGCTCTATGTGCAATGTCCAATTGATACACGATATCACGTCTCACTGTACACATATCTGCCCTCGCGATCCTTCACCTCCACCTCGATTCTGCCCTCCTCGATCTCCTTCCCGTCCACCTCGATGGACGCCTTCATCACGTCACCGGCTTTGACCTCTCCGACTCCCTTGGGGGTACCAGTCAGAACCAGATCGCCCTTCTCCAGCGTCATAACGCGCGAGATCTCTGCCAGCTGCCTGGGGATCCGGTAGAGCATGAGACCGGTGGAATCTGCCTGGCGGAGCTGGGAGCCGACGCTGAGGCGCAAGAAGGCATTGTGGGGATCGGGAATGCGCGACTTGGGGATCTCTTCGGAAATGGGCAGGAAAGTGTCAAAGCCCTTGGCGATAGACCAGGGGAGGCCCTTCTTCTTTGCCTCGTCTTGGACGTTACGGCCGGTCATGTCAATGGCGACGAGGTAGCCTGCCACGAGGGTTCCATGTCAGTCTTTCGAAACGGAGAAGACAGCGGAAATATCTTTCAAGGGTACTGACTGCGAATCGCATCCAGGGCACCCTTCTCATCGTTCGGGTCCAGATCCCGAACCGTCTTGCCCATCACCAGCGCCAATTCCACCTCATAGTGCAGGCTGACTCCCTTGGGACGCAGAATGGGTCCCTCGCGCGGCAGAAGAATAGAGGACGGGGGCTTCAGAAAGAAGAAAGGCTGCTTGGGCTTAGCGTTGTTGAGTTCCGTAATGTGATCGCTGCGGGGGTCGCATTCGTCAATGGTGATAACACTGTTTGGGGCCATGGGAGTACTCACGCATAGTTCCGGCCGATGCAAATCACCTTTCTGCAATTGGCTCTTATGGAGGCGGCCATTGCGAGGAAGTTTGGGGTTGGGAGGGAAATTAAGTCTTGCTTAGAGGCGCATTCGCTGTCGATTGTCAATAAATAATTGAGTCAAGTCCCCGTCGTGACATCAGCCGGTGCATCTCCGCAATTCGCAGAGAGCACTCCGAATCTCCGAACTCGGCACTTCATGTGCGGAATAGTCGACCCAATGCTGTTTAGGAATTTATAGTTATGCTAGTCGATAGAAGGGTGAAGATTGCCATGATAGCGAACAAGATGAGCTCGAATTGGGTTCTTGCGTTGAGGGCTAATGAAAACACCTGATCACCATGCATGATCCTGCCAAGACATCGTCATATTCCCACCTAGATATCGAGAAGAATATACCTTCTCAACCACCGAATTAGACCCGTCATACTCGCCCATAATGCAGGTTGCAGAGATCCTCTCGGATCTCACCTCACTGCGAGTCTGCGTACGTTCGACGTCTCTAAGACCCCAGCTTGATAGGTGCAATTTTTGAACCAAGACAGGACTACAATGATGCCCTTGCCCTAGTCACCGTCAACGAAAGGCTCAACGAGGCACGAGTACCGCCAGATGACAGAAGCAAAGCAGCTGTGAGCAAGCGACAGCAGGAGCAGCAAAGTGATGACCTCCGACGGGCAAAGGAGCTTGTTGATCTGCATTACGAGATGAAGACGAAATATGCACTCGGCTCGGTTGATGAGGAGCTTACTCGCGCTCGGGAGGAGGTGAACCGGGTTCTAAGGGAACTGGAGGGTTGAAACTGTGTTCAGGGACACTTATTTCAGTCTACATGTTAAGGTTGCTACTGCCATGATGCCCATGATTTGATGTTACAGATGGTTGCCGTTGATCGGGTCACGGTCACATATCTAGTTCGATTTCCAGTATGTCAGGATCAGGGGCTCGCGTCATTGCGTCCCTTGCATTGTCGTACTTCACTCAAACACACCTACCCAGTGCAATAGGAGCACTAAAGAATTTAGCATTGTTCTCTACTCCGTACTTCAAAGGCCGAGGCTCGTCATTCACTAATCTGCTGTAGTCGGCCCGACCAGACCTCCGAAGTACGGGCACCTTTACGGCCACAAACGCAATTTGGAGCATCGTCGTCGCAGTTGCACGCGTTCTTCCTTTTTGCTCAATCGGTGTTTTGGCTGTACCGCGAATCGTCACAGCGCATCCAGTAAATATGGCGTCCAGCATAGATGCCAAACTACTCAAACAGACCAAGTTCCCTCCCGAGTTCAGTCGGAAGGTGGACATGAAGAAGGTCAATATTGAGGTTATGAAGAAGTGAGAATCGACCCTTGAACGCAATTATCCAGGAAGAGTTCTTTCTAACGAAGGGGCCGGATTGTAGATGGATTGCTGGAAAGATCTCTGAAATACTTGGAAACGAGGACGACGTCGTTATCGAGCTCTGTTTTAACTTATTAGAAGGCTCTCGATTCGTATGTTTCCTTCGGCGCATGTTCTGGGTGCGGAGCAGTTTACTGACCAATTGCTTTACATTTATAGCCTGATATCAAGTCTTTACAAATTCAGCTTACGGGCTTTCTGGACAAAGATACAGCCAAGTTCTGTAAAGACCTCTGGTCATTATGTCTCAGCGCTCAAGAAAACCCCCAAGGCGTCCCGAAGGAGCTCCTGGAAGCCAAGAAGCTTGAACTCATACAAGAGAAGGTTGGACTGCCAGACTGCTCGACCGGCTTTATATCTGATGCTGATACGATTTCCGCTAGATTGAGGCGGAGAAAGCAGCGGAAGAAGCTCGCCGCAAGAAGGAGCAAGAGCAAGCGCGCGAAAGGGAGCTGGAAGAAATCCGGCGAAGAGAACGCTTCGATCGCAATCGGGGCAGGCGCGGTGGTGGTCGTGGGGGCCGAGACTTCGATAGACGACCATACAGGGACAATCGATCGCCACCCAGGCGACGAAGCCGCGAGCGATTTCGTGATCCACCCTCAAGACGAGAGTTTGATTCTTACGTTCCCTCAGGTTCACGCCGGGGCCGTCGGCCGTCAAGGTCGCCGGGCGCCTCTCCCTCCCGCTCTCGTTCCGTTTCCTCATCTCGATCCCCACCTCGTCGACGCCTACCAAACAGAGACAGATACCGGGATAAACGTCGCCGCTCGGCGAGTGGCTCCGTCTCTCCAGAAAGAGGAGACCACAGGAGACCGAGAAGACGCAGTCCAGACTACGGTGATCGAGCTAGATCCATTTCCCGCAGTGATTCATCGCGCTCACGTACTCCCAGAAGAGACCGAAGGAGACGAAAATCTGTCTCTTCGCGCAGTTCATCTCGTTCACCTGCTCCCCGAGACCGGCGCAAAGGGGACGACCGATCCCGTTCCAGGTCAAGGTCTAGGTCGCGAGTCCCGGATGAGAAGAGCAACAGACGGAGGGGATCCTCACCTCATACCTCAAGAGCTGACAAGAATGAACCAACCGCTGATTCTGCAAAGGCCCGCAAGTCCCGTGATGATCGCCGTTTGAGTCGCAGCAGAGATCGCGATGATGAGCCTAGACGACGGCGCTCAACCAAGAGTGTCAGCCGTAGCCGCAGCCGCAGTCGAGGCCGTTCTCGCACTGGCAGCGTCAGTCCCAGGCGTGCTTCTCGCAGTCGCAGCCGCAGTCATGCAAGAGAAAGGAAGCGACGTCGCTCTATTGAGAGATATGCCCCTGCTGCCCGAAGACGGCGCAACACCTCTTCTGTATCTACACATACTGAGAAACGACAGAGGATGGCCGATCCAACCGAGGAATCCGCAAAGCGGTCGTCTCCACCGCCTGAGCAGCCGAGCTCGACAGATCACGAGACGAGGGAGACTGAAGAGGTGGGTAACTGATTTCGGATGGATATTATACCCGATGAGTAACCGGATTCTTTATGTTCGTTCCCTTGTCTCTTAACCCAATTCCCGCTCCCAAAGAACTAATCAGACTGACGAATTTAGCAGACTATCCATTCAAAACCGTATCAGCCGCGCATATCGGGCACGGAGTTGCGCGAGAAGCTTCTCCGCGAAAAGCTAGTTGCAATGCGCCGTACTGCCTCTCATGACAAGGTAGGTGGCAATACGACAGCGTCCAAGTAGCACACGATTGGAACATGAAGCCGGGTGATCAATAGACACCTTGACAAGTGGGGTGTGGCTTACTAGTGATTTAGAGAAAGATAACTATATGCGTTTCGGGAAATCCCTTAGTTCTGGGAACTTCTTTTCTTCTCACTTATGGTTGTAATCTTGGATACGTGGAGTATGGATACCACGTGGAGCTGATCAGCAATAGTGTCAACCATGCGTCTTGGTTGACCTTGGTTCGCGATCTGCACTATTTAATAATCCGAGTGATAGTAAGCCAAAGTCAAATAAAGTCAAACTAAAACTCAAACAACCACACCCCATCCCCCCTATCTGTAGCGGTCAGGAGGATCGCCCGCCCAGAAGTGTCAATAATAACGATCATCGCCTTGCAGAGGCCCCCGTTGCACTCTTCGGAGTATTACGGGGTACTCAATCTGTCCCTCAAGTCCATGCGTAGTTGCGTACTGTAGAGCGTAGACTACAGAGTTTCTGGACCGACGATCGACGTGCATGCCATGCCGACTGTCAAACCGTCGATCAACACACATACTACCCCGTACTGAAATTTGATCAACGGCAGCCAGCACCCTGCACTCTGCACTCTGCACTCCAATCAGCAATCCCAACTGCATGCATGCATGCGTCCCAGGCCCTCAGCCTCTCAACTCACGTCATGCAGACAAGACTGCCGCTCAGCCCAGCCCAGCGTATGGAAGTCCTGATTGCCTGTTTGCTTCCGGTTCTAGTGACAATCCGCTGAGCGGTGATGAGCATGACCAACCATGCTGATCGAAATGTCCTCTGCGCTAGTGGCCCGCTCTCACTCATGGCTACCTGCTTGAATCCTTGCCCTAGACTAACTAGGCCAAGGGCTTTTGAAATGGTCGGTCAGCGATGCGAGGGGAAGGTCCATTGTATTTGTATCCGTAGCTAGCTGTCTTTTTATCGAGAGCAGAATTTGGGTAGGGGCGAGCGAGAGGAGAAGTACTGCGTACGGATTGAGGCCTAGCAATGAAGTGAGAAGTGGTGGGGACGGTATGGAGGAACAGAGGCGAAGGTAGGGAAGTTATTATGTCAAAGACGTACATGACTCCAGGCTACAGATTAGAGATTTACTGTCGCTTGACGATCAGTTTGAGATAAAGAAGTTTAAAGACTTGATCTATTCCATGTGAGAAATGTACTTCACTTAGCTGACAATGAAGAAGAATCAAAATTATAAGTGATATGTTGATGTCACCAATCTGGCTCAACTTCACGATCCTGATAATAAGGCTCCAGAATATGGAACAGCAGAATTAGAATTAGAATTAGTTATGTACAAGACTATTGCACCGTTTCTCCCATTTCCATCGTTTCATAAGTTGTAACTGGGCTTGACGAGCCAAAGAGCAAATTTAGTAGTCGCAGGCAGTAACGGTGACGGTGGTGGTCATGGTGACCACCTTGGGGCCCTTAGAAGGCACCGCGGTGGGAGCAGCGGTGATGGCCGCAGCACCGCTAGAAACGGCCTCGGTCTTGGTAGCAATGGGGACAACAGTCTCGGAAACAGAGGTCTCGCAAGGGGTCTCGCCGGCCTCAGAGGGAACGGAACCACCAGCAGGGCCAGTGGGAGAACCACCGGAGGGAACGGAGCCGCCAGCAGGGCCAGTGGGAGAACCACCGGAGGGAACGGAACCGCCAGCAGGGCCAGTGGGAGAACCACCGGAGGGAACAGAACCGCCAGCAGGGCCGGTGGGAGAACCACCGGAGGGAACAGAACCGCCAGCAGGGCCAGTGGGAGTAGCACCGGAGGGAACAGGGACAGCCTCGGTGTTGGTGGCAACAGGAATCACGGTCTCAGAGGTGAGAGTGTCGCAAGGAGTCTCCGAAGCCGCGGGAGCGGTGGGAACATTGCCGCTGGGAGCCCCGGTAGCGGAGGAACCAGAGGGAACGGAGCCGCTGGGGACGACGGGGACAGGCACGCTGGCGGCACCGGTAGGGGAAGCACCGTTGGGGACGGAGCCGGAGGGAACAGAGCCGCTGAGAATGCCGGAAGGAGTGGGCACAGCAGGGACAGAAGGCACACCGGTAACAGAGGCGGCAGGAGTTGTAGGAAGGCTGGGGACACCGGTCCTGGTGAAGCTGGAGCCGCTGGGGAGGTGGCCACAGCCGGTAAGCCATCCGATGAGGATAATTTCGATGCTGGAGTCGATCTCGATGCCGGCGGCACCACCAAGGATAGCAGCCAGCTGGGCACGAGCGTCAAGAGACAAGGAGGCCATGCTCTCGCCAGAGGTCAGAATAGAAACAACGCCGCGGAAGACGGCGCCGAGAGTAGCCTCGATGGTGCCAGTGAGGAAGGAAACAAGCTCGCCAAGGAGACCCGTGGACACGCTGACGGAGACATCGGCCTCGAGGGCGAACGAAAGCCAGAACAGAACAACAGCCTTGAGCTCAGCTCCGAGCGAGCAGCTCGAGCTGGTGAGCCAGGCAACGAGAGCGGTACGAACTTCAACATCAATGGAGACGGCGGCACCGCCCTTGGCGCAAGCCTCGAGGGCAGCCTGAACGTGGGCATCAAGACCGGCCGAAATCTCAGCTTTGAGGAAGGCAGCGAGAGAAGCCTGGGCGCTGGCGGAGAGAATGCCAGTCTCCTCGACAAGGGCGGCGACGGAAGCACCAGCGGAGATCGTTGCCAGACCACCGCTGGGCAGAGAGCCAATGGCAATGACATCGGCGCCAATCTTACCCTCCAACCAAGCCAAAACGGCAACCTTCAGAGAAGCGGACAGGCTGCATTCGGAGCTGGCGAGCCAGACCTTCAGGGCGGCCTGGACATCGGCGGCCAGGTCGACGAAGACACCACCGCCAGCACAAAGGCTGAGACCAGCCCGAACCTTGGCGTCGAGGGCAGCAGCGACAGACCCAGAGAGGAATGCGGACAGAGAAGCCTGGGCGGAAGCGCTCAGGACAACATCTGCGGCAACCTCGGCGGCGGAGAAGATACCCTCGATGGTAACAAAGAGGTCGCCCTTGGCGGCGATGTCGGCGCAAGTGGGGATCAGCACTGAAAGTCCGGCGCAAACATCCACGGAGAGGGCGACAGACGCGTCACCTTCACACCAGTCGAGAAGGGATGCCTTGATGGATGCATCGAGGAAAGCGGCGGCCTCAGCACGAAGCCAGGCGGCCAGTTCAGCCTTGGCGGCGGCATGGATCGCACCAGCCTTGCAACCAAGTGCACCTCCCTGCAGGGCAGCGGCTGCCTGAGCACTCAGACCAGCAAGGAGAGTGGTGGTGCTTGCGTGTCCACCAAGGATAGCACTGATGAGCCCGCTCAAATCAAGACCACCATCGATCGAAATTCCCGCACCAATGGAAAGATCACCGATATCGACGTCAGCGCCCAGCTTGAGGTGGCGGCTCTCCACGTCGGTGGGAAGAGCGAGGACGTAGCTCGCCAGACTGGCGAGCAGGAAAAGGTTGTTGGAACGCATTGTGTGAGCGTAATAAACTGAGATGCTAATGAGTGTCTTGGTAGGTAATAGAATGGATGTATCCTAAGAGAATGACGGGGCTACGAATAGCCGAATTGGATAATGACAGGCTGTTCAAAAGAAGAAAGACTGCAAAAACAAGAAAGAGCGGAAAGAAACGAAGCGATTGAGGAGGAGTTGATGATCAATAACAGACGTGATGATCATCCAGGTATATATACTACCCCTGGGGGGACTTGCAGTACGGCCGGTCATGATGTAGAGACTAAAGAACACTCCCCGGTCTGCTGCACGATTGGCGGACCACAAGCAGCGCCACCCTTGTCTAGCATTGGTGCTAAACTAGCCAAGATTCACAACAGGGCAGGGCCCAAAAGACTAGGATTATTAGGAAGGAGGAGTCGTTTAGCACTAGCAGAGCCTGTGTTGTTGATTCTTTGGCATCGCGGACCCGGATCTTCAAGGTGCTCGTTAACCGAAGTGGATCGTTGGCTGCCAGTGAAATGGCCAATGGATCACACTATCTTCCAATTGTGGAAACATCCGAAACGCGCGAGTGAGAATACTATTTCAGGTAACCTGGTATCTAAGCCGACCTGCCCTCCAACGGCACATGAAGAAATCGGAAAGATCGATAGCCAGATAGCCGAAGATTGGGTGAACCATCATTGCGTCGCCAGGGGGGTTCGCAGAGCACATGAGTGAATTACGAGATTCAAACTATCATGTGTCTCGTGCCTGGGAAAGCATAAATCTGATGGTATGGATACCTAAAGCTGTCGTGAGAAGGCAGAAACTCAACATAGTCAAAGCCACCAAACGCATAGTACGGAGAACCATCATCAATGCCAAGGGAGACCACATAGGTCTGGGACTGAGAGGGAGCCAATGATGACACCTAAAGAACGGGGAATTTTCGTTCAAGCTCGTGCCTTCGCCATTCGAGGAATTTGGTCCAGAAAAGCAGTTATCCCGTGATCGACGACAGTCGAGTTGTAAACAGCAATGATCGCGATTGATACTGCGAATCAGACCGTTTGTTGATTGTTTTTTGCGGAGCCGTTAGACCTAGGCTAGGCTGCCAACCATGCTTCTGTTAAGGACGCAGCCAGAGCCAATTGCGAGTCGCCAGGGACTTATTTTCGACCTATGCTAAATCAGCAGATCAATAGATTAGTTAGTGCTCCATAGTACAGAGTAGACTGTTGGAAATGGACAACTGCGGGACCGCGTTCGTTGCCGAGTCCAACCATGGGCGATCACAAGTCACAACAACCGGTGTTTCGGCCCAAGCTGCTAGCGGCTTGTCTTGAGTAATCCATATTATTGTAAACTATGAAGTTAGTACCGTCGTTAGTATCAGGTGTGGATGTATCAAGAAACCATCCAGTGCGGAAAAGCTTAAAACTTTCTGCCTTTTCCTTTTCTTGGGGGAAGACGATAAACAGGGGGAGAAAAAAGTACAAAAAAAAAGTGGTCTAAGGGTCATTGCTTGGGACAGTGTACGAAGAACCTCCCCGAAGATAGTTTAGTTGGACAACATAAAATGAAGCCCTCTTTTTTTTTGGAGTTCATTGTTGACTGATCAATTTTTGGGACCAGTGGGCCCGGGTGCACATAGTACATAGTAATCCTTTCCGACGCGCAGGAATCTGGATCGCATTACAGATACTGTCGACGGCTAAGGCTGAATATGGCAAACTCCATCATGTTCACTGTTCAGAGTGGCTTGAAGCGGTTTCGCCGACCGAAAGCATTGAAGACAGGGACTAGGTCGCACCGTAGTACCACATAAATTCAAATTGTTCGAACTATCATCTCTGTGCTATGGGTGCGTTGTTTAGATGGTGAAGCCTGCTGTGGTCGTACCAGGCTCTGGGCGAGTCGTTGATTGCCTGATAAGTCAATAACCCAGCCAGGGGCAAATCTAGACTCTCGGAAGCTCGGAGAAATCAAGGATGCTAGTGTATGGTGCAGGTCAGCGCAGCTTGTCAGGCTGGATGCAGGTAAAGGTATCACAAAGTGACAGAAAAGAGCTCGGAATTGGAAAGTGTCCACGAACATGGCAACCCCTGGCGACTGTGGGTGACGATGTAGTATCCAGTTAGTCAGCGACAAAGAACTTCGGTGCATCCGCTAGCCAGTTTTGGGCATTACACTCGGAACTAGCATCGACTGGCGAATAGTACTCCGTTACCCGTAGTCAACAGCTCGTTCGAAGTATGTGTCTGGTTAGGTTTGTCTGTCATACTCTCAACTTCTGTGGGTAATGGAGCCAAACACAGCGCTGAGGAGCAGCCGGCTAGGAGATCCTCAAAATGAGAACAGCCTAGATAAATGGTCAAAGTTAGATCTTATCCAGTTAGTTTGTAACTCAGTAGACAGTGTGAAATATATTGATGGGTCAAGGATACGGAGGAGTAGTATTGGACGATACCATGTTGGGAACCGTTCCTGAACCAAAGTCCCAGTAACCGTGGTTCCTGAGGCCACCCAGGAGTCCACCAGCAGTGGTCCATCCGCTGTTGGAGCTGAACTGCGAGGATGGAGCCACCAGGGGAAGTACGACCCGTAAATTCTCTCCTCCAGCAATAGCATCATCAGATAAAAATAGCTGATACATTGGAGAGAGAATGTGATTTCACTTGGTCAAACAAGGAAACCGACATCAGAATTTGTCCTGCTGAAACGCCCACAAAAGCTTGAGATCGCATCACGGTTTCATCATCCCTGGCAGTGTCTTTGGATGAAACTTAGGCCTTTCCAATTTTTGACTTTGGAGAACCAGGGGCAGAAACGGATAGTTCGGCGATACTGCTCTCCTCTTGCGGATTCGGGAATCGACTGCCTGCTTGTAAAGATGGCCGAGGGAAAGGAAAAGGGAGGGGAATTTCCTGACGTCAGGTGACTAGCAGGATAGCATGTGTCATCGCACTCTGAAAGTAACGATATCATTAGCTTGATTGCTAGCAGAGTCTGTTCATCTAAGTGTTTTCAATAATAGTAGGAGCAAACGAGAAGAGCGATCTGAACAGTGATGCCTTTTCTCGGTTGCTGTAGGAATAGTGACTGACTACGGTGTATATCATCCTATAGTTGATAGTTGATCCTGCCCGCGATCACGATGACGATACGCTCGACACATCTTAGGGTGGAAGTCAAGTTAGGTTCATTTAGAATTGAGAACATGTTTCAGACACTAATGCTCCATGTGTGATGCTTATTTAGTGAGCATCCGATGACTCCCTCCGGCAAAAGAATTATATACTTGCGGACGTGCAATCACTGGCCATTGAAAGCTTCGCAAGCAATAAGCTGGCAACGACATCCTACAGCTGAGCCACACATTTGCAGACCAAGTCGTATATTATTGCCCTTTCAATTGATTTGATAGATACGAAGTACTCTGACTACGTAGTTCATCCATTTTGTGATGAATGTTGTTGCTCTCTAATCGCCCCGGCAACGAGATATTATCAGGTGACTTCGTCCCGAGTCCCCAGCCACCCGTGATGTTTGAACCAGAAACAACAGCATCAACTCCACCAAGCGACACAACAAACACGAAAACGACACGCCCCCGCCATTGGGGCATCCGATGATTTTTGGGAAACTTGGGATAGGCGCATTGGTCGACACGTCTATGTAGGATTTATTGATTTGAGCTGAAAAATGTTATGATGGCCTCTCCGAATTCACTTTCTTCCGCATATACTAGTGGCCTGCATCGACAACCATCGCTCCGGCAGATGTCTCGTTCTACACTTTCTCGCTCCAATTCCAGACGCTCTTCACCGGCACTCGACTATCATACAACGTCGCGGAATGAGGGAGTATCGATTTCCAGACAGTATTCGGCCGGTGACAGCTCCGATGATGAGGTTCCGGAGCCCAAGTTCAGCGCTTCCGTCAAGGCTCTCCTCGACGAGGACGGACTAGGCTCGTCCCCTCAACTCAAATATAGGAGCAACGAGCGTCCCTCTTCAATTGAACGCGCGACATCGGCTGCGACAAGTCAATCGAGGCAGTCCCGAACATCGTCACCCCTTGATCGATCAACCGGAAGCCCCGCTCCTCGGGTAGTGCGTATAGCTCCAGCGCTCGCCAACAGTAACAGGCATGCGCGAGAAGGCTCCCCTCTATCGCAAAGTGAGACCGCGGGCTCTGGCGCAAATTATAACTCAAAAGATCTCATCACGCCGGCCCCCAGACCGCGCAGTGTTCGCATCACTGGGTCGCGAAGTCATACACGGTCGCCTGCTTCAGTGTCTCCCTCCCAAAAGCGGTCTGCTGATAGGAGCCCCATTAATGAACATTCGAGCGCAGAGCGCTCGGAAAATGGGAGGACGATGAATTACGAGGACGACTACGCCCCTCGATTTGGCACTGCGTCTGTGCTCCGCTCGCGCCATGGGGAGGATGTGGGCATGCAGAGTTCCCTTCGCGTGAAAAGAGTCGGAAGGCTCACAGGGACATTCCTGAATGGACCTGCGAGAAGGGGTGTTCTGCGTCGGCAGAGCGAGGAGAACAACGACCCTCAGAGCTATTCCGCTGAACGACATAGGGAATCGAGTGTCGACCCGAACGACGACAACGCCGAATACCGCTACAAAGCTAAAACAAGGACCTCCTCATCGCCCAAGGTAACATGGGCAGACCCCAGCCCGCCACAGGAAGCCGAGCGACCTGGAGCATATGATCCCGCTAGTGCTTCCTCTGGGGAGGGCCCATTCTCCAGGTCTTCCTCGCCGAGATCCTCCGGATCACATTACAAGTCGACACCTGGGTCCGCCTCGGAAATGTCCTCCAAGCCTTCAAGTGCTCCTGAGGAGCCTGTTTTCAAGGTCCCGCCGCTTCGTCAACTCCCAGCAACCCGAGACCAAGAGAATGAGCCTCCACCAACTTTCAAACGCGATAAGCCCCAGGGTCTTAATCTCCTAAGCAAACCAGAAAAGCTCTCTGTAATCTACGGGGACGACAAGAAAGACAATGCAGAGACG